GTTCCACAGGCGGCCCCTCATGCCGAACCGCCGTGCCGCTATGTCCGACATCAGTCCGCCCCATGGTCTCGCAACTATGTTGGCCATCCCAAATGTCGCCGCTATTGTGCCGGCCGTATGAAGCTTCAGATCAAACCTAGTTTCCACAATATGCATGTATATTTAAGTTGAACCAGGCCCCACCAAATATTATTAATTCATCAAAAATCAATTTTATTTCACTGTATCAAACAATAATAACAAAAATTTGTATAACACCGTTTCACCGTACCGGTCTCAAGGATTGAGTCCAGAGGAATATTTGATTAATAGATCAAAGATCGGGACTCGTCACAATTCAAGTATTACCAACAATAATATATTATTGTATATGTACGTACCTGTCGAAAAAGTATTCCGCAATAACATTATCTGTTGTTAATTCCACGCCTAAAGACATCCCATAAAGAAGAACAAAAATCCATGTTCTGTAGTTGGTCACACCATACCACAACACCTGGTTCAGTTCACAATCAAATCAAATCAAAATTTAATATTGTAATTAATCTAGTTTAATTTACTCAATCTGATCTCCAAGGTTAATTTTATCATACTATTACCTACCTTTGAAAATTTATCTTTGGGAACGTCACCTTTCTTTTGTAGCATATCTAGATTGCCGTCGGGTAAATCTTGACCTAACACCAAAACGAGAATCCCCATCGTAACATGCAACCACCCCGGGATAAAAAACGCTATACGCCACGCCGTGAAAGGGGTGGCTCCGGCACGGCGGATCAGCTCGTATAGCAGCGGCATAAGCAGCTGAGTAACTCCGCCTCCCATATTTCCCCATCCCGCGGCTGTGCCGTTCACCACCCCAATGATCTTTCCGTTGAACATGGTACTCATCCAGTACTGGCACGACACGAAGGTTGCCAACGAAAAACCGATCATGAACCTGACCGCCACGTAGCCGCCGGCAGATGACACCAACGGCATGCAAAACACGGTGGGAGCGGACAGCATTAGCAAGAAAGCGCAGCCGTAACGCGGCCCTAGTAAATCACAGACCGCGCCCATGACTAGCCTAGAGAAAATGCTGCCGGAAACTGAGGCTATACCCGCATTTCCGATGTCGGATTTCTTCAGGTTGAGGTTGTCCCGGATGATCGGAACGAGAGGGGCGGCGGCGAACGTGGAGATGAAACACGTGAAGAAGGATATCCAAGAAAGATGGAAAGTTCTCATGTGCGGATTGGCAAACGAGAAGATCTTAAAAGACTTGGCTTTGTGTTCTGAGTCAACGGGCAATGAAAACTTGGCACTAGTGTCTGTGGGGACCGAGGGGTCTTCGCCGACGGAGAAGGCGAAGGTCTGTTCTTTTCCGGTGACGCCATGCATAGAGCTTCCTGGTGATGGAGAATTTGGATCTTCCATCCCAGCCATGCCTAAACTTTTGGTATTTTAATTTTCGGGTTTCTCTCAATTAATTGCTCAGGATGGATGGATTATTTATAGATATATACTTAGATACATACCAATTATATGCTGCTGGAATTTTCAATTTTGTATTCTTATATGTAATTTTGTCCCTTAACCTTATGGTCTACTTGTGAGAGGTCATGGGTTCGATCGCTAATGAAGGTGATACTGAGTCTTTGTGATTCGGAGGTTAAAAAAGTAATAATGAACAGGCCAGGTACTCAAAAGAAAATAAAAATATCTTCTGTTTTAATATTTATATATAGGAACTGGGGACACCCTAATACATCAAATGCCTCCACTAAGACTTAAATCTATCACCTCCCAGAAGCAATGTGGTACCATTAGACTATAAAGTCCTTGATTTTTTAAATATATATTCAATTCCTCTCAACTAAATTAAATATATAAAATATTAATAAGAATAGCCACGAAATATTATGTTATATTTACAGTCAAAATCCAACATCCCACTTGTACAAATGTACAATCCAATTGGTGAAAGTCATTTATGCCACATATTTTACTGCGTACATTCTAGTAGAAATTTATACAAAAAGTTGAATTACACTGATTATTTATTATTTATTTTGTTTTTGTTTATTTGTTTGTTTCCATTTCCAGTGTTATAATAAATTAATGGACCCCCTTTTTCACCCTTTGGTGTGCTCTAAAAGGTTTTTAGTAATAATCTAAGGTATTTATTGAAAATTTGTCTTCTTTTACTTAAATTTATCCTAATAGCTGCATGCACCTTTGCCGAATGGGAATTATATTGAAGCTAGCAGAGGGCACGCAATAATATAAGAACAATTATCAAAATTCTTGCTACAATGTTACCACATTTAATTTTCATCTTCATATATATTAAAATAGTATAACTTTACTATTTTATTTGATGCATATTTTCAAGAATATTAAACGTCAACTATATGTACTGTTTTTTTAGAACGAATTAATAAGATAATTGCCACTAATTCATAGCTAGGGACATTGATGGTACAGACTATAGCCCTTCTTCACTTGGTATTATTTTGCCTTCATATGTTTATAAGTTTTGGCTTGTGTCAATGTATTTAATTGAGTCCGGCCTGTGTGCCATTGTTTTTATTTTAAGCCTATGTGTCATTGTGTTTGCTTTTAGGTCTTGTGTCATTGTTTTTACTTTAGACTTGTACACCACTCCATTCCTCTTTGGTTCTAGCTAATTTGTGGGCATGTGTGCCTCTTTACAGCTAATTACTTGACCTTTGAGTCGCTTCAGTCATTTTGGCATACTCTGAGAGCTGCCGTTATATTGCTGAACTTTTGATAAAATTGGGGTGTTCTTAATTAGTTTATCTCGCCTGACGGTGTGTGTGGCCTTATACTTATGTTAATTGATAGCTATTTTGTGGTTTCGGCTTGGGAAAGTCCTTTTTTTTTTTTTTTTGTTAGACTAGGACACTAGGTTTATGTTACTTTAAGCCTAGGAGTTTATTATGCTTATTTTATCTTTGAGTGTTGGTAAAATTTTATATTTCTTACTTAGACGTACACTAGCTTGTTGATTATGGGTAGCTTCTCTTGGCCGGGCTTGAGGCGTTCTCCACTTGACTTTGCACATACTGAATTTTGTTTTAATAAATTGATGTTTTTTGAGAAAAAAAAAAAATTCGTGTCGCAACTTAAATAGTAACGAAAATGATAATTGGCATGTAGGCAGCTTAATTATTTTATTTTAATCCATGGCAGATAAGTAAAAATAATGTTTGGTTCATCATGTAACATTATGACATAGAGTTGCAGCCTCCATTTGGTTGTTACAGAATATATCAACTACTTGAGTTGGAGTTGATCGATATATAATTTTAGAGGATAGGATTTCAGCGGCATATTCCATCCACATGCAAGGAACTTAGCCTATGATCCACAACATACCAAATTAGAAGCTAGCGTTGATAAAATTAAAGCTTTTTGTATTTTCCACAATTAAAAGCTAGCGTTGATGAAATTAAAGCTTTTGGAATTAAGGTGTTACCACTTAAAAGGTTGTCTTACGTTGTTAATATATTTCAATAGTTATTGCGTTGTGCAGACCACATTCGAAAAACGATGTCGTATTGTGTAATTTTTTTTTTTCACGTGACTCACTGCAATATACATTTTTATAATTTATAATGTACATTATTCTAAATTATAAAGTACATTATCTTATCTTAGAAGTTTAATTATTTTAGCACATTATTCTAACACATAAAGTATATTATTCTAATACATAAAATACATTATTTTAACTCTAATGTATATTATTCTAACTCATAAAATTTAATGATGTCGTTTTAGACCGTTGTCCACACACAATAATTTGCCAATATATTTGGAGTTGTAACAATTCTTTGTGGGCAATGTCTCAGAGATACATCTTCTCAGCTTTTGGCCCAATCCAAATCATGCACAAGTGTAAACCAATTAAATTCCATCTCGTAAGATATATGGACTAATACTTGTCTCCAAAAAACTTGTTATGTCCCTTCATATAAAATATTTAGGTTATATTTGATAACATAGTAAGCATAGTTTATCAGTCAATTTTGACTTATTTGATCATTATTTATTGCTTGACTTGATTAAACATTCAATATAAGTGTTTGATTAATTAACTTTTTGTTACAGATTATTATACCAAAATGCTAAAATTCAAAAAAAACTGCTCAATGTAATTTTTTCGATAAACTTTTTAAGAAAGTCATTTTGCATGCAATAAGCTATTAGCTAATAGATAATTTACTAAACATCTTTCTACAATTAACTAATGTTATCAACTAATCAAACTCACTAACTCAATTAGCTAACTGCTAACAGCTAACAACTATTTACCAAACACCCCTTAGTCTTTTTATCTACTAACATACTAAATAAATATAATAAGAGTCAATAAAATTAGGCTCGGATAAAAAATATTGGTGTAATTATTTGTTTAAATGAATGGTTCATATTATTTTTGTTTTAATATTTTCTTACGATTTTCCTACTTTACCCTTTATTATTATTATTATTATTATTATTATTATTATTATTATTATTATTATTATTATTATTATTATTATTATTATTATTATTATTATTATTATCCCCTGAATATCACAGCTTTCCGTCAGTGTAAACTTTAGTAATAAAATATTTTGTTAATTATTTATTATTCTTAATTTACTCATTGATTTCTTAAGGAAAGTCTTAGGTTTGAACTCATCCCAATCAAGAAAGGTCTTAGGAATTGTTACAACTCCAAATATATAGGCAATTTATTGTGTGGATCACGGTGCAAAACGACGTCGTTGAATTTTATGAGTTAGAATAATGTAAATTATGACTTAAAATAATGTACTTTATGTGTTTGAATAATGTACATTATGTGTTAGAATAATGAATTGAAGCTTAGCTTCTATGGTAAGATAATATACTTTATAAGTTAGAATAATTAATGTACATTATGCTTTAGAATAATATACATTATAAATTATAAAATATATGTTGCAATAGATCGCGTGAAAATAAAATTACACAAAACAATATTGTTTTTGGACCGTGGTCATGCAATAACTATTGAGTTCTAAGTTGCTAGGCTAATTTTGTTGGGCTTTGTGGAGTTTTGGACTTTTCAAATAATTGGGTCGGATACTCTTCAATGTAATCCGTCAGATACCATTATTCAATCACACATATTTTTATAGAAATTTAAATTTTTAATTGAAATTCTAGTGGAATACAAAAATTTGAATTTTTAAACTGAAGAAATAATTAGTTTTAATACATTTTAAAAATACTTTAAAAATATCTAAATGTTATTCATGGATACTAAATTTATTATTTGAAGAATAATTCAGTATGGTGCTCAAAAGGTTTAATTTGGATTTTTGGCGTATTGAATAAGTTTTTTTTTTTTTTTTTTTTTTTTTTTTTTTTTTTTTTTTAGAAAAAAAAAAAAAAAAGTTTGAATAAGGCCATGACCAAAAGAGCTACACCTACAACAGCATAAGAAACATGGTAGGTGGGAAGCATGCGGCATGTATTAGGTCCCACCCCACGCACCATGGAAATAGACACTTCATTTTTAAATGCTACATTAAATGCCCAAGAAAAATAGAAGGCCAAAAGAATTTAATACGACTTAACTACCAAACAAAAATACCAGGAAACTAGCTAGGTTCAAGATAATATTTCTGTAATCTTGTTTTATTAAGGTAATTTATTGTAAGGAGAGTCGTGCATTTTTTATTTATTTATTTTTTTTCTGTGAAAAGCATGGTTTCAAACGTTCAACAAAATATTTAACATAAGAACGCATGCTTAGCATCACTAAAACAAAATTTATAACTTAAAATCTCTTATTCAAAATCATATAAGTAGGATTTTGAATCTTGTTTTGCTTTAAAACATTTATTATTATTCAAAATATTAATGATGAAGATAGTGTTAATTTAAGGGCCCCATGCTTCAACCGACAAATCATCAGATGTAAATCATGGTAACTCAGCTGAACATAAAGGGTAGACCTTTACTTACTGCGCACAAAGAGTCCCCTCACTTTTAGAGAACTTGATCCCAGGTCATTGTTCCAAAACTTTACCTATGTGACCAACTGAGCTATCCATGCAGGCAATTTATAACGTATATATAGGTGAGGTTATGACTGGTTGATTATCATAATCAATAGAGTAAATTAATAAAATGGTCTCTTGAGTATATCGATTTGACTGATTTAGTCGCCATGTTTAAAAATTGTTTAATTTAGTCGTCTTCTTTTTTTTTTTAGAACTTTAATTTAGTCATTTGATTATCATTTCTTTAACCAATTTGATCTTGAGACGCATAAGACAACTTACTTTGAGGGATATAATGGTCACATCACTATTGAACCATTTGACTATCATTTATTTAACCAATTTGGTCCTCACATTTGACAATACGAGGATTAAATTGGTTAAATAAATGATAATTAAAGGACTAAATCAATCAAATCGATATAGGTAGTCAAGAGATCATTTTTTAAAAATCATTTTGGAAGTCGGAATGTATAGAACAGATTGAACAATAGTGAACATACTATTCCGTTTTTAAAATTTGAATAAATGTATAGATCTTATTATTAGTGCGAGTTAATACCTTCAATGATTTCCCGAGTATTAGTGATTTACCAGTTGTGGTCATCCGAGTTTTAAATGACCTCCAATGGTCCTCAATGTTTTAAAAAATAATCACTCGTAGTCCTAAATCTTTAAAAAATTCGAGTTTAAAATGACCACGAGACGTCTTAAAAGGACCACAGATAGTTATTTTTTAGAACATAGAGGACTATTGGAGGTCATTTAAAACTCGAATGACCACAGCTGGTAAATTGCTAATGCTCGGAGGGCCATTGGAGGTATTAACTATCAGGATTGTTCAACAGCTGGTATCACTGATGAAATATATTAGAGTTTTTCGTACTTTTGGTCCAACGACTATAGTGACACTATCAGGATTGATCAACAATTTTCAAACTTTGCAATCTCGATTCACAACTATCGTTTTTTCTGTAAAAATAATCCTTCAGACCTATTTTTTGTCAATTTCTTACCGGAGTAAGAACCATTTTCGACCAAAATTGGGCCGTAAAAGATTTATTTAAAATAAAATAAAATTGTGGGATGGGTTTTGTGGTCAAGTGTATTTATCTTGGGTAGGTTGTACCTAGGGTTTGATATGTAAACCTTAATATTTCCAATAAACAAGGTATCGCACTATCGCGTATGGAAGGTATATACTGGCAGGCTACGTAGCTGTGTTGGCGGCGTGGTCCACTCCGATCCACACTGTATTCCGATATTCTCTCGATGTGTCGTCTTCCTCTTTCTCTCTGCCTACGTACATGCTCAGAAGCTCAGATCTGTGGCAGTACATAACTCCATCTCTCATCTTCACCTTTGCTAGCTTCCACAAGTTTCCCTTTAAATTTTCTTCCATCTCCTTTCATCTGATTCCTTAATCGATCCGAAACAGATTAGAATCTTTTTTTTTTTTTTTTTTTTTTTTTTTTTTTTTTTTTTGTGGGTCATAGATATTTCCATTTCTTATGTTTTTATAGCTTGAATCTGATCATAATTCATGAAGATCACACCCCAGTTGTTTCATTTTATATATTTATCTACTCCGATCCGTATTTGTTTGTTTTGATATGAACTAATTGAATCATGAATATTTTTGTTGTTTCTTTTTAGGCTCTGATCTGGATTCTCAATTCATTTCAATTCTCTTCTTCTTCTTCTTCTTTTTTTTTTTTTTTTTTTTTTTTTTAGTATGAGTTTATGTTTGTTATATATCAGAGTACACTGTTGTTTACCCTAATCTCAACTGGGTAGTAATTACTGATTTTTCTGTTCCTAAACTGTTATTTTTGCAACCAAATAACTTTGGTACTTGAGTGGATTCGATCTATTTAGAGATTTTGTATGTTAACAATAATCTCTTCGTGGGAATCTTCGTATGCGGTCGGTCGTTGTTTGCAAATGCAGCATTTTCAAGATTCACATGTTAATTGCACTTATCCCACTGTACGTACGTTTATATATGCATATATAATAATATAAACTAACAGTGGAATTCGCAATTTAATGCTGTGTAATGAGAATCTTGATGATGCTGCATTAGCAATAAACGGCTTTAAATCATTTTGGTATTCGGTACGAGGTTCATATCATTGTTACGTACTCATGGCCAATTGGCCAGGTAAGGTAATTACTTTGAATTTGTGATCCACTATCATTTTATTTTATTTTATGTTGTACTGCTTTCTTGTCATGAGTTTTAAATTACTTTAATTTGTTGCTAATGCTAGGCTGGATCATGAAAAGCCTCGACAAGTACATACTAAATTCCCGATTAAGCCAGCTACCAAGAATCTATCATCCCCACAAATGCGATTTTAGTTTAATTTGCTCTTTCGACTCCTTTTTCTTAGTAAGTCGTTGATTTATTATTTTATCAATATTTGATTTTAATATAATTCATATATATACTTTGTTTTCAAAAAAAATATAACGCATATACTAAACTAATTCTAGGTATGTATTGGCATTTTAAACTAGTTGAACATGAAACCTTAGCTTATACGACTTGGCAATTAAATTTTGTGCATCAAACTTAATCATTAGCTGTTAATTAGTTATGTCTTGATCTAGATTTTCTTTTACCAAAAGTCTCTTTATTCTATTAATTATATATTTTTATAAACACAGATAAAATACCAACAAACAAAAAAAGGGATTATTGATGGGAAGTAATTATTGAACCACAAAATATTCTTCTTCTTCTTTTAATAGCAAGGGAAACCAAAGCCAACATTATTAATCATCTTTTATATATATATATATATATATATATATATATATATATATATATATATATATATATATATATATATATATATATCATTTATGCCTTTTCTGTGATGAACCACGGTCCCTAGTGAGCTATTTAGCTCAATAAGTGGTTGATTAATGATCGTAATCAGTTGTTAACAAATTACAGATCTAATGCTAGTGTTTTTAGTTCATATAGGGGGTGACTAGGTGTTAGCATAATACCTAGTCACCCACTATACGAAGTAACATAACACTAGCACTATATATGGGATCGGATGTAAATTCATGTAACAAATTACAAATCTAAAGCTAGTGTTTTTAGTTTTTTTTTAAAAAAAAAATAATTAGTAGACTGTGATCAAAGGCCATAAAAACTTAGGGTGTGTTTGGTTGATGGGTTTTGCCCATAGGAATGGGTATGAAAGTGATTGTTGTTGTTTGGTTGATAGATTTTTAAAACACTACTATGGGTTTCGAATACCCCATCAATTAAAAAACCCATACCCAAATACAATAAGGGTTTCATTCCCTTATTTATTCTCAAGCACTACTATTAGTAATCATTCCCATTCCACCTTACTACCAAACATGTTAAATACTTTCACCAAAACCCATTACTATTACCAAGTATTTGATACCCATTCCAATTCCAATTCCTATGTGTGAATCAAACACACCCTTAATAATCAATGAGTTGAGATTTTTATATAATAGATTAATTGAATGATCGGATCGGAGTGGTTAAAATTTGTCAAATAATAAATTGAGAATGTAAACATATATAGAGTTGGGTTGATTGCACGGTGAAGCATTATGTTAGTTAGTTAATTATTAAACCTAGTATGATTTGTAAGATAATGGGCGGCGGCTAACGTTGTCGCGTCGTGATTAGGCATTGGATCCTGGAATAATTGGTGGCGCATGTTACTTGTTAAAACACGATTGCTGATTGATCGCAGATTCTATTGCAGGAATAAAGTAGGGAGGCGGATGTACATCGTACAAGTTAAAAGCTGATGAAGGCTGACTTATTATCATTATTATTATTATTTTATTCTACTCGCATAATTTTTCAACTACTTTACCAATGAACCCCAACTGTGACCTTGTACATACTAAAAAAATGTGATTTTTTTTTCTTGATTAAATTACTAATTTATCACTCAATTAACTCATGAGAGAATGTCTTATTATGTTATACTAGTATTTGCACCCGTGCGATGCACGGAATGAATTTGTTGTAATACATTAAGAATATATGAATTGATGTATAATTGTTTAAATTATAACATCAAATATTATATAGTGCAATTAAAGATATGGTTTGGATCGTTTATATATTTTGATGTTATCATTGTTTAAATTTGTGCAAATAATTGCTCAAATTAATAGCTAATGTCTAGATGTACGCATGCGGTGCTATAACTTTGAAGATTTTATTTATCATTGTTTAGTATTTTCATAAATTAGGCAAATGTGGTCGTTCTCTAACAACTCAGTTATAGAAATGAATTGCTATCCTTATTCATTTGTATGGAAGACATAGTTTTTGTCTAGATATATAAGAATTTTTTCATTTAAAAAAAACTTAATATCACCGATTATATTTACACATTATTGAAACCTCTTTGTAGACGACATTGGTAGTGGCAACACAATCTTATTCATCTTCGTCTAGAGCTAACACATTCAATCCATCAGGACAGGTTACTTCGATGAAAATTTATAATGGTAAAATATCACTCAATTAGTTATCCTTTTATATTTTCAGACAATTAGTAATAACCAATGTTGCAAAAAACGCTAGGCACCCCCTAGGCGCCAAGGGGGCGCCTAGCGCCTAGGCGCCGATTTTTTATTTTTTATTTTTATTTTTTTTAATTAAAAAAAAATTAAAATTAAAAATTTTCAAAATTTAGTACTAAAATATAAGGTTTCCATAGTTATTTCTTATAAACTATTTACAAAAGTGGTTGTAAAATTGTTCAAAAGATTGTTGAAACCATCTAAATACATAAAAAAAAACTAAAATTAAGAGCTAAAGAAGCATTTTTTTGAGAAATTAGTGGACCAAACCGCCTTTGGCGGGGCGGCTTGCGGTAGATCTCGAAAAAATACGCGATTTGAAAAAAAAAATTGTCCAAATCGGACAATTGAGTCAAAAGTTATGCCTTCCGAAAGTTTTTCGACATTTTCAAAAAAAAAAAAAAAAAAAAATCGCCTAACCGCCGGTAGACCGCCTAGCGGCTAGGCGGCCGGCCGCGGAGGAGGCCGCCGAGGCCATTCCTTGCGGCGGCCTCCTACCGCCTAGCGCCTAGGCGCCGATTAGGCGCGATTTTTGCAACCTTGGAAATAACGCATTCATTTTCATCTAATTATTCTTTTTATTTTATTTTCAGTCAATTAGAATATCAAATGCAGTGATATTTTTACCTAATTTTCGTTCCATTTTTAATTGATGATATATATATTATTATTGAAATATTTACGTTCCATTTTTAATTTACCTCTACTATTGTTTAAAATATGCTTTTATTATTGATAATGTAGAATATTATTATTGAAATATTTTCCTCCAATTTTTAATTTTCATTCCATTTTTAATAATGCAATGATCTGTCCAGTTTCTTTTTTGTTTTTAGTCAATTATGGATCATTTTTATTTGCAGTCAATTATTAATATTCATTTCCTTTTATATTTTCAGTCAATTAGTTATCTTATATTCATTTTCAGTCAATTATTCTTTTTTATTTTCAGTTAATTAGAATATAGATGCATTGATATTTTTACCTAATCTACGTCCATTTTAATTTGATGATGTAGAATATTATTAATGAAAGATTTTCTTTCCATTTGAATTTACCTTTACTATTTTTAAAACTATGCATTTACTATTAGATTATGTAAAATATTATTATTGAAATATTTCCTTTCCATCTTTAATTTTCCTTTACTTCTAAAAAAAAAACAAAAAAAAAAAAAAAAAAAAAAAAAAAAAAAAAAACAATTATGTTTGTAAGAGGAGCAAATGCTCCTCTTATATAGAGGAGAGTTCCTCTTTCCAAATTTTCAATGTGAGATCAAAATGATCCTACATCATTTACAAAGGGAGCTGTGGCTCCCTTTTGTCTTCTTCTTATTTTTTTAATTTATTTTGTATATTGTTTTGTTTGGATTATTATTATTAATATTATTGTTGTTATTGTTGTTGTTGTTGTTGTTGATTATTGATAAATTCGTCAAAATTTTAATAAATTCGTCATTTTAACATATTATATAATAACTCAGTAATTTGCTCCAAACTGTTAAAAACTAATACAACACATACATTTTGGGTTAGTCTTTCACAAACCCCACTAATAATAAATAAATAAATAAACAAACAAAACTAAAATAAGAAGACAAAGATAAGTCTTCTTAAATAAGAACATTTTGACTTCTCAATACTTGCTGACATTGATGGGCAAGAAATTATGTTTGTAAGAGGAGCAAATGATCGGAGCTCTTTCTTTTCAAACATTTTCAATGTAGGATCAAAATGACCCCACATCATTTACAAAGGGAGCCCTCCTCTTTTTTTTTTTTTTTTTTTTTTTTTTTTTTTTTTTGAATTTTAAATTTATTTTATATATAGCTTTGTTTGGATTATTATTATTGTTATTGTTGTTGTTGTTGTAATTTGTTTATTTGACAAATTTGCCAAAATTTTAAGAAATTCTCCAGTTTAACATTTTATATTTAATCAAAGCACCAAAATTATTATTTAAACACTTAGCAATTTGCTCCATTAAGATAAAGGTTTCTTAAATAAGAGCCTTTTGACACGTGGGCTTCAATAGGATCGAATAGTTATGCTGTGGAACTGTGTCCACCTTGCAAGGTGGACACAGTTCTATGTTCATAATTACTGAACTATATGTTAATTATTATAAAGCTATATATTCATAATCTTTGGACTTCATATTCATAATTATTGAACTCTATATTCTTAATTACAAAACTCTATGTTCAAAGTTACTAAACTATATGGTCATAATTATAAAGATATATATTCATAATTTTTGAACTTCATATTCACAATTATTGAATCTCTATATTCATAATTACATAACTATATGTTCATAATTATGTTCACAACACTATGTTCATAATTATAGAACTATATGTTCATAATTTTTGAACTATATATTCATAATTATGAATAATTTTTGAACCGTGTCTACCTTGCAAGGTGGACACAGTTCCATAGCCAATTTGTCGGGTCAATACTACTTAAAAAAAACATTTGGACTTCTCAATACTTGCCCACATTAATGGGCAAGCAATTATATAGAGGAGCTTAAGAGCTCCTCTTTCCAAACATTTTCAATGTGGGATCAAAATAATCCCACATCATTTACAAAAGGGAGCCACCTTCGTCTTCTTCTTATTTTTTTAATTTTAATTTTATTTTGTATATAGTTTTGTTTGGATTATTATTATTATTATTATTATTATTATTATTATTATTATTATTATTATTATTATTATTATTATTATTATTATTGTTGTTGTTGTTGTTGTTGTTATTATTATTATTAATTATTATTATTATTATTATTATTATTATTATTATTAATTATTATTATTATTATTATTATTATTATTATATTATTATTATTATTATTATTTGTTATTGTTGTTGTTGTTGCTATTATTGTTATATATTGTTATTGTTATTATTTTAATTTTAATTTTATTTTATTATTGTTACATTATTACATATGATATTTATTATTCTTGAACAATAATATTATCAATTATATTATATTATAGAATATAATATCATATATAATATTACCAATTATGCAATATTACCAATTAATAGATTTTATTTAATTTCCATTTGACATTTACTTACCAAATATGCTTTACTACAAATAATAATATTCTTCTTCCAATATATATATATATATATATATATATATAGGCGGGTTCAGGTGCGGCAGTATCTTACGGTGCGGTTATTTCTTACGGTGCGGCAACACCAATAGTTCACCAAATATGCACCATCAACGTTAGAAAATACACCACACAAAACAGAGTAAACAGAGCCCTGCATCACCAAACACACACCATTAGGTGTGAGTAAAAACACCATACATTGTTCGGAAATACACCATTGGGGGTGATGAGTTATATGGTGTGTTTTTTTGAGTCTGTGGTGTATTGTGTGATATTTTATTACATTTCATTGGGGTGTGTTTTTATTACACTGTTGGTGCATATTGTTAACACTGTTGGTGTATTCTGGAATTTTACCGCACCGCCGCACCGTAAGACCCCGCCGCATATGAGCGCTCTTCTATATATATATATATATATATATATATATATATATATATATATATATATATATATATATATATATATATATATATATATATATATATATATATATATTGTATATAATATCTATATATAAATAATGGATGATATTACAGAAATGTCCCTAAGTTTGGGGAGAGAAATTTGGTTAGGAGGATTTTACTTTTTATTATGATATAGATATAGATTTACCTTTTACTTGATGATGTTGAATATTATTATTGAAATATTTTTATTCTATATTTATTTTTCGTTCCATTGTTTAAAATTGTGAAAGATTTATGACATAATTGTGATTTGATGTATTATAGTGTGTAATATTATTGTGAAAAATTAAAATGCAATGATCTGACCATTTTCTTTTCCATTTTAGTCAATTATGAATCATTTTACTTTTCAGTCAATTATTAATATTTATTTTGACCGTGAGGTACCATAACAATATTATCATAACTAATTATTCTATATTTTGCTACATTATGTAATATTTTGACTGTGAGGTATTAATATGTATATAAAAAAATTCTATAATATAATTTTCGATGAATAAACATAAATTCTAATCGGCCGCATATCATTATATGATTGTATAATACATTGTATATACACATAATATTTATTAATATGTATATAGGAAAATTCTATAATATAATTTCATTAATTATAATTTATATTGATAGATTTATACTTAAAAAAGTATATTTCGAAATTTAAAAAGTGTATGTATGTATATTTAAAAAAATATTTTTGTGTTTTGTAAATTTTATAATTTTATTTCTTTAATTA